TGCATTGCTTAATTTGGAATGTGAACGACATCAAAACATAACACTTTTGTCTTCATTCTATCTTTCTTCTTCAATGAGTGTGCATGATTATAGAGGCCATTAGCACATTATTTTGAGGAACGGGGCTTTAACAGTTGTTGGGTTCTAACAATAGGTGGTCCGATTAATGATTTAGTGTAAAATATACTTTCTGTGTTCTTTAAATGCATTTCACTTAGGTACTGCATAAACAAAATATGACATTAACATTACAAATTTAAAGATTTTAACCCACAGAAAAATTCTCACTAATGGGTTTTGTGGTTCATGTTGAACAACTCAGAGAAACAAACTCCGTATGATGGTTAACGGTTGGCACCCACCTAGTTGGCACTCACGACCTGTGACACGTCTTCATACCTGTCACGTGCATAGCTGACCTACATTGACGAACGTTGACCTTTATGACCCCAACACTGCTGCTGTTACAGGTCATCGGCTCCCTCCCTCTGCAAGCAGTCTGCGTTCTGCTGTTTATTTTGTTGACAGTTACATAGACAGATTCTTTAATGCATAAAATCGGTGATTTACAATGTGATTAGGTTGTCTGACAATACATCCACTTGCACAGTTTGAGATCGATTGGATCATTGGATGAAGATATATTTACAAGAAACCGGGTCCACATGCATTTCATGCCAAACTATAGGGTCCATGCAGGTAGCAAAAGTGCTGTAAGTCCCTATGGTCCCTCGAATGGTGATCTACCTTCAATTGTTGGTGATCAATAGCCCAATTTTACTTTGTAATGTCCAAAAGCAGTTTTCTACTTTTAAAGATATTTGCTAGCTAGTTTTAACTCATTTTGTGATAGTCTAGTTATTTTACTGTCCTTCGTTGACAAGATTTTATATATCATATGTATGTATTGTGAATTTAGAACTAGTTTCAGTCACGATATGGCTGAAATATTGCCGATGTGACTTTAAATCTTAACTACTCACTCACCCTAGTATGGTGATCTGTACCCCGTGCATATTGCATTGACCTAAACAGTGATATAAATTTTAACTTGCATGCTATATTTAAATCTCTAACTGTGATATTCGTGGTTTTTTACTGTCCTTTGTCAACAGATGTTATACAATAACAGTATCTTTTATTAACGTATGACCTGTTTTAGTCACGTTATGGCTGAAATATTGCCGATTTGACTATAGAACTCACTCACTAACACAAATGCCTTGAAGATGTAGGCATCATGTCGAATAACCCAAACCATCATTGCTGGTGGTTCGCTGATGTTGGAAGGTATTGCAGGCACCATGTGTCGTTCCTCAGATGTTAATTCAGTATGTCTGATTTGTCCAGAACATTCTACCAAAAACCATAATCTAGAGATTCTGGGCAGTATAATGGCAACGGCCTTTCGTGGAATAGGGGTCTTTGCACAATCAACAATAATAGGCACGCCATGATCGGAAAATGTGTCCAGTGTGTTAATGTGTCCAGTGTGTTAATAGTGTCCAGTTCTTGGGCTCACTTCATGAAGGCGTTGTTTCTAAACTAGAAGATGACTTTACGCGGTGGTATACCGCGGTAGCAGCAGTGCAGACTGTCACCTCACAAAGACAACAAGAACCAGCAAGTGGTTTCAGAGTTTCTTCCTTTCATGAATTTAATTATTGGAATTAAATTTGAATCACCTAAATCTTAGACTAGGTGATTGGTTTTATGTATGCTGAAATCTTAGGTCATTGGATCATTCGTTTCAAAGAAACGTACCAGGAAAATACTGAAGTGTTTTCTCTTAAAAGCTGTGTGGCGAGTGGAGAACACTAATTGTCTGCAGACCAAAGGACAACAGAGGTCCAGCCTGTAAACGATAGAACTATTTCTTCTCCCGTACTATGTCGGAGGTATATACGACCCTGCGACATTGGCTGTCTTCCAGATATCCTCTCACTGTCGACATGTATGTACGTCGTATTCTGAACAACGTTTGTTTTGTGGTGCACGTTAAAAATATCACTGCTCGGTTCAGCTGAGGCCACAAACGTGTATGGTGTTCCTGACAGTTTTAATAACATGTTCTTGTCCTTCAAATATATTTTTATCTTGGCACCAAATGATATTCTCAGATCCATGAATATGAGCTTGAAATAAATGGAATCCACAACTCCTTAGTCAGACTCCTATTTATAAATCCCTAGACGGGCTTCCTATTGCATTCCGTATTGACTTTAAGCTCCTCTTTGGAAGTCATCGAAATCTAACCTTGTACTAAAGAACTAGGTTGGATTAAAGCTAAAAGTGGATTTTATCAGGTTTATGCAGATTATAATGGACTGGAAGTATGAAAGAGAATGTGAAAAAATAGGAACTGTTTGTATTTACACTTATTCTTGATACATTTTAACGCTGTTAATATGGCATTTGCTTCTGTTGTGAAAATGCAGCTGTCATCTCGTAATCTTTTAGATATTGTTCTGGATCCCTGGATCCATTCTGTGAAGATAGATTTGAAAGCATTGTTGTTGGTTGGTTGGCGTTTTACGCCGCAGTCAGCAATATTCCAGCTACAAATGATTTAGTCGTCTCTTACGACAAGCATGGGTTGCTGAAGACTAATTCTAACCCGAATCACCTTACAGCAATCGATACCATAGTTGAAATGTTTTGGTTACATATTGCTCTTCTGAACATTTGAAACACGAAATCGCTATTTATGCTTAAAATATAGAATATCATTGACATAATATATAAGCTTGCCACCTGTGACAAAAGTTCTGAAACATCGTGTCAGGGCAAAAAGATCTATGCGACCATAGCTCAGATGTCTTGGCCGGTTTTCGGGCCTGCGGTGTTGACTGTGTTCATACTAAACAATATAACAGACAACATAGTATCTTGCGGGACACCCTGATTATGATTTTGATGGTCACACAGGGTAGAACTAAGTAGATATGGAGGCAAATGGGCTCGCAATCCAAATCATCAGTCTTTTAAAATACCATATTTCTATGTAGTAAGTGTGCCTTTCGATAAAAAAGAAACTGTATGTTGTTTATGGATTATGGTATTTAAAAAAAAATGATTCTAAACGTACGCTTCTGCTTTTGCATGTCTATTATTAGGTTATTGGTTTCTAAGTACCAAACTAATAAGCATTTATTGTACGTTCCAACGCAGCTTGTCAGGTACGTTGGTCGACCGGTATCATGACGTTTAGCTATTGGGACAATCATAATATCATATAAAGAAACTCTTATGCTATCAACTCCTGAAGCGGTGACGTGCGCCTGCTCAAGAGCAGCATTGAGCTCATGGAAAAATATTTTATTGTAATCTTCCATGTTATCTGAATTGAAATTAAGTCTTCTTTTCTTGACATTTCTGGAATCGGGGCACATAATTAGATGAGAAGTATGTTTTGCCAAAGTTTCACTAATGTATTAGTTAATAATTGGTCACAGTTGTAAAATGGTGAATGTATGGGAAAATATTGTCAACATCATGTTGTCAAAACAAGAAGAAACATATGGCATTAAATCTCAGTACACATTGAGACGGGCACCAAACAGGAAGCAAGAGGCATACATAGTTTCAAAAGGAGAGTTCTCGCCCTTCCCAACATAGAGATCACCAGTTTGGCATTCTGTGTTTGTCTTTTGCTTTGCCTTTGCATGTGTTTGCAATTTCTGCCACGGGGGTACCTGGTATCATCAGTTTTCGATGGGAATTGATAAACTCATGCTTAAGATGAAGTCGGACGCAACGTTGAATTTTGTTTTAGGTTGAGGAAATATTTGTAAATGAGGACGGACCTCTGTATCACTTCTGACACAAGTGTTGTGGAATGGGGTTGTGCATTTGGCTCCTGGTAAGGTGTCCTCTCACTTAGCCAGATTCTGTCAAAGCAGGTCTCTCACATAGCCAGAGTGGGATTTGGCTGACCAGGGTTAGTGTATTGATAACGCATGTCCAGAAGAGCCATATAGTCTGTATCAACAAAATGCTCAGTTAGTGAGATTCGTGAATTTTGTATTAAAGTGAGACACATTGGTATAGTATTATTTGAATTTCTTCACATTTTTCATTTACATGCAGCAACTTGGACACTGCATTATCTTTCAAGGACTGTTGTAATATCTATTAGTTTTGAGAGAGACAAGTGTAGGGGAAACACTGTTTGTCAATGCCACTGTACACTAATAGTGGTACAAGAATACATCTTGTTTCAACGATACACACACTTGCATACATCTTCAATCGTGTCGCATTGTAGATATGGATTATAGCCCTAGAACTAAGGCTCCCGCGTCAGTGGCTAATGCTAATTACCTGGCTCGCATCTCTCACCTAGCCATAGTGTAATGTTGTCTTAACAAGACCTGTTTAGGAAGACTAAGTGAGAGGGAACCCCTGGTGAGTGTAACGGTTTTCTTTTGAAAGTGTCAGTTGCTTGCAATCTATAACCCAATTTTATGTTGTACTGTCCTAAATAGTATATAACTGTGATATTGTAGTTCTTTTACTGTCCTTCGCAGACAGATTTTACGATGTAACATTGTAAATTATCTAAATATGACCCTTTTTAGTCACGATATGGCTGCACTATTACCAAAGTGACTATACATTTTAACTCTCTCACACACTCATTTTGGAAGGGTCCAATAGGCAATGACATATCTACGCTTCTTCCTTAACTCATCTTAGTATAATAGTGTATCTTTTATTATCCATTATATGCATATCGAATATATTTGACCAAGTGACAGTTTTCCTATGTTAATAAAATATAGGAAAGGAAATATAGTTTTATTATTATGGAACAGGTTCAGTTCACACTTCCCTATTTTTGTTATATTTTTTATCTCTCAGATACAGGAGACTGACATATTCAGATACCTGATGACGAACACATGTTAAACTCCTTCAGTCCAAATGAGGTCACATACAAGTGGAACTGAATAGAAAGCCTACACAGAAGTGAGACACGACAGACACACTATACTCACGTGATACACTCCACATGATACGCCTCTTCTCCCTCACCACATTGAGTCCCTGGTGGGAGATCTTCGCCACAGTAACTACATAGTAACATCTCATCGGGAATCCATGGGTTGTTTTACATTACAGTGACTGAGAAATCTGAAAAATGAAACAAAATGATGCTCACATAATGGTTCCTGCAATCGACACAGAGTGCCGCTGATGATTACTATAACCTTCTCAACGCAGAGCGTGTACATTATGAAACTCTTTCTGATTGTCTCAGATAACCACATGTGATACGACACACACAATAAATAGTATTAAATTAGTAAATGATCGAAGTTCTCTGACCAGTTATCTTTGTAGTCGAATTACTAGTTGTATTAGTTAATTAGTAAGCACTGTAAGCACAATAGACGCTTCAGCCTACAGCTACTTCCGTGCAAGTATATTTGGGTGAAAGTGTTTAGACTGGAAGATGAAGAACGAAACGTGTGTGCGGAATCCTGGAGGAAAGTTCCAGTTGTTATGTTTAGGAACCCATTGAAGGGGGTCCTCTCCATTCAGGTTAAAAGAAAGTTAAACTTGATCCTGATGACTAAAGCCACGAAACTTGGTAGATACATATTTTATTATCTCTTTCCCGCCAAATAGCAGATTTAAGATCAGTGAATAGAAAAGTACTGCTGGATAGTAAGTTCTCAACTTTAAAGTAGCTGCAGAAAATGCCTTAGACGTTTCCCTAATGACAACGTGACTGGGTAGCCAATAAATCAGATAATGTCAGTGTCGGTCACAGACAGATTCAAATAGCATTTCAAAGTGAAAAGGAATGGTACGTTTCACGTTTGCTGATCGCCTGTTGGCAAAGAAAACTATCTGAAAACTCTCATTGACTCTGCTCTCCTTAGAACGACTGATTAGTTGCATGCCTAACGTTAACCGTAATGTGTAAGTATTATCTGGTGATAAAATGCCTTCTGACATTGATGTCAAAGACCAATCAGTGTGATCACCCAGTGTGCTAACCAACCAACTCCAAACAAATCCAAACAATTAAACATGTGTTCATTAAATGTTCAATCTGCTGGAAATAAGTGTGAAGCTGAGCTGATTGTTGATTCCAAGGTGGATGTACTTGTGTCAACTGAAACACTCCTGGTGATGAATCGAAAGTAGCATCAATGACGCCCCATAGATACAAATGTTCACATTTGCCACGTGAGACAAGGGGTGGGGTAACTTGCTGTTATATTTAGATCAACACTGAACATAAACAAAAACCTGCTAATTTTAACAGACAATACATGTCGTTTGAATCTTTAAACTTTTTATTGACTGTCGGAAGCATGACAACAAAGATAATTGCAATATACAGGCCTCCACCATCGAGAAGAAACAACTCGATGAATTTTCTACACTGCTGGAAGACGTGTGTGTGGAACGCTCACGAATGATTGTACTTGGTGATTTCAACATCCACTATGACAATCCGTCTGACCAAGAGATGATCAAAATGTCAAAACTCCTTAATTCTCAGAATTGTGTTTAACTTATAAATGAGAGAGTGAGCTGAGTTTTACGCCGCACTCAACAATATCCCAGCTATATGGCGGTGGTATGTAAATAATCGAGTCTGCACCGGAGATCCAGTGATCAACAGCATGAGCATCGATCTGCACAACTGGGAACCGATGACATGTGTCAACCAAGTCAGCGTGCCTGACCACCCGATCTCATTAGTCGCCTCTTACGACAAGCCTAATCGCCTTTTGTGGCAAGCATGGGTTGTTGAAGACCTATTCTACCCCGGATCTTCACGGGTATGTAAATGAGACCACACTCAAGCGAGGTCACATCCTTGACTGGGTCATCAAAAAGGATGATGTTAACTGTGTGAAGTGCGTCTGGGTCACGGATCTGCAGATATGAGATCATTCTACCGTCAGTGTGGTTAAATGTTGATCGTCTACCAGTACCCCAGATGACTGTTAGATGTAGGGACATTAAGAAAATGGACAGGGAAGCATTTCGTTCAGATCTTTTGACATCCCCACTTTTTCTCGATCCGGCCACAGATCCGAGTGAACTTGTTGATCTGTTCAACAGTACTCAGCTGCAACTCCTGTACAAACAGGCACCAGAGAAGAGAAAGTTTGTGATTCAAAAATCAGCGGCTTGGACCATGACTCCCGAAAATAGCAAGGCAAAAGTTGACAGGAGAATTACAGAGAGAGCCTGGTGCAAATCAAACTTGGAGGTTCATCACTCGATCACCATGTCACCCATCTGATCAAAAGCTGCTTCTTTCAGCTGAGAAATATTGGGAATATACGCAAATACTTAACTAAGGACTCTGCTGCCATCCTTGTCTTGTCTCTGGTGATGAGTAGACTGGACTATTGTAATAGTCTCCTGGCCGGTGTTACAAAATCTGAGATCTCAAGACTACAACGTGTTCAAAACATTGCAGCTAGAATTGTGTCACTGACTCCAAAATCTGATCACACATCTCCAGTTTTGCGATCACTGCACTGGCACCCAGTTGAGCACAGAATAACCTATAAACTATGTTGTCTTGCTTTTAAGTGTCTCTCTTGAAGGGGCGGTGGGGTAGCCTAGTGGTTAAAGCGTCCGCTCGTCACGCTGAAGACTCGGGTTCGAATCCCCACATGGGTACAATGTGTGAAGCCCATTTCAGGTGTCCCTCGCCGTGATGTTGCTGGAATATTGCTAAAAGCGGCGTAAAACTAAACTCTGTCAGTCTCTCTGGAATGGCATCAGACTATCTGCCCAGCCTCCTCGATATCTACCAGCCCACTAAATCTCTCAGATCAGAGAACAAACGACTCCTATTTGTCCCTCGTGTCTGGATTAAACGCTGTGGTCATAGAACATTTTCTTATTCTGCTGCTACTATTCTTCCTTTCACTCATATCTCAAGATATCTACAGTCTCGCCTATTCCAAATGATTCCCATCGCTATTCTGTGTTCCTTCTTGTGTGCACCTTGAGCATGCATTGTGCATGGAAAGCCGCCTTATAAATGGATTATTATTATTATTATTATTATTATTATGTCAACAGATAAAGAGAAATATACAGCAGAGAGGGTTCGGGTGATCCTGGCAGTCATGCTGGGTAAGGCTCATCATGAGCTCATGAGCCCTTGTCCCCTCTACACGCAGCCCAGGCAGCGAATGGGACTTCTCCCAGGAACGCGCTGCCTAGTTGAACCCAACAAGAACTTTCCGGAGAGTATGTAGACTCCCCAACACTGAAGCCTTCTGCATTACTCAGAGTTTCAGAAGTTCCGTGCCCCCAGTGGAGAACCCGGGGAATCTCCTGGTCTGCACCAGGAGATCAGGAGGTACCAAACCAAGGGAACTGAGAACAATAGGGAGTCAGACGACAATGAACATGGGATGCAAGCGAGACATTTCAAAGGCGAGGTCCGCATACTTAGCATGGTTTTCCTGAATCTTGGCAATCACGTTACTGTCAAAAGGGACAGAAATTTCAATGATGTACATAAAGTCATTGGCTTTATCAAAAAGGACAAGATCAGGTTTATTGGCAGGAATTCATCTGAGGCTGTAGCATCATTTTCTATGACGCCCTGGACAGGTTTAGGGTGGTACCATGGATGAACCTCAGGGTCAAAGCCACAGGCATGGCGGAGACGATAGTAAAAGCAACCAGCCATCGTGTTGTTTAAGATATGCTGTTTGTGCCAATGAAGGGCATCCACTGACATGGTGTTGGACAATCGACATTTCATGCAAATATTTTCTTTAAGAATCACATTCAGGCGATTGCGAGTGGGAAGTGACTGGTCTTGAGCAGCAAAAAGGAAGCTCTCAGTTTCACATTTAGGACCAGCCGACTTCATCCAGGCGCAGGAGTCGGTTGGATTGCTATTCTGTTACACACACTGCATGTACACACGATGCAATGGTTTCTCAGAAAGCTTCTCCGCAAATGACCGACTCTGAGCAGACTTGGTGAATAACTTCACCTGGTTTACTCCCATCGCTGTACCGTGGCAAAAGTTGACAGGAGAATTACAGAGAGAGCCTGGTGCAAATCAAACTTGGAGGTTCATCACTCGATCACCATGTCACCCATCTGATCAAAAGCTGCTTCTTTCAGCTGAGAAATATTGGGAATATACGCAAATACTTAACTAAGGACTCTGCTGCCATCCTTGTCTTGTCTCTGGTGATGAGTAGACTGGACTATTGTAATAGTCTCCTGGCCGGTGCTACAAAATCTGAGATCTCAAGACTACAACGTGTTCAAAACATTGCAGCTAGAATTGTGTCACTGACTCCAAAATCTGATCACACATCTCCAGTTTTGCGATCACTGCACTGGCACCCAGTTGAGCACAGAATAACCTATAAACTATGTTGTCTTGCTTTTAAGTGTCTCTCTTGAAGGGGCGGTGGGGTAGCCTAGTGGTTAAAGCGTCCGTTCGTCACGCTGAAGACTCGGGTTCGAATCCCCACATGGGTACAATGTGTGAAGCCCATTTCAGGTGTCCCTCGCCGTGATGTTGCTGGAATATTGCTAAAAGCAGCGTAAAACTAAACTCTGTCAGTCTCTCTGGAATGGCATCAGACTATCTGCCCAGCCTCCTCGATATCTACCAGCCCACTAAATCTCTCAGATCAGAGAACAAACGACTCCTATTTGTCCCTCGTGTCTGGATTAAACGCTGTTGTCATAGAACATTTTCTTATTCTGCTGCTACTATTCTTCCTTTCGCTCATATCTCAAGATATCTACAGTCTCGCCTATTCCAAATGATTCCCATCGCTATTCTGTGTTCCTTCTTGTGTGCATCTTGAGCATGCATTGTGCATGGAAAGCCGCCTTATAAATGGATTATTATTATTATTATTATTATTATTATTATTATTATGTCAACAGATAAAGAGAAATATACAGCAGAGAGGGTTCGGGTGATCCTGGCAGTCATGCTGGGTAAGGCTCATCATGAGCTCATGAGCCCTTGTCCCCTCTACACGCAGCCCAGGCAGCGAATGGGACTTCTCCCAGGAACGCGCTGCCTAGTTGAACCCAACAAGAACTTTCCGGAGAGTATGTAAACTCCCCAACACTGAAGCCTTCTGCATTACTCAGAGTTTCAG